GAAAATCCAAACAGCTTGAGTATTGAGAGTGTTTAGACTTTTTGAGAAAAGAATAATTGGATTTTTTTCATTGGTGGTTGTGTCCACACACTGCACAGACACATTTATATGTAAAGCATATACAAGTGAATCGATGACCCCTTTAAGTCTTATTAAGGACATGTGAGGAAATGGCTCATGATAAATGATGTTCTGCAAAAGAGCCAAAAAGAAGTTACAGAGAATACGGTGCATTCAGCACTGAGCAGCGTTTCTCTCGGCTCCAATCACGAGGGCAACGGCGCAATAATGCCTGTGTGCGGTTTTCCCCTGTTGGCTCAGATGAAGAAGTCTAATGAGCACAGGAGACAAATGTTCCCTCTCATTTCTCTGTGAATTGGATGCCTGTATCGCTTTTAATCGTCAGGCACAGCACAAACAGTCCCATTTCTCCATCCAAATTAAACAAGATGAGTTGTGTTTAACCCTACTGTACTTTGAAGGAAACCTGCAATAGTTTATCGCTCTGATGAAAATCTTTTATGTATTGGTAATTTGACCCCAAATTTTTTTGTTTATATCCAAACTATTTACTGGGATCATTTGAATTATTGACTGAAATAATTAAACTGTTTGAAAAGACTGTTTGTGAAGATGTTTCACATGACAACTGCTCTCAACGCAGATTTGAATGTTCGCTATGATCATACTTGTCAAAAAGTTTAGACATAGCCAAATTGTAGTCATTATGGAATAAGATCATGTGGGTGTTTGTTATCTTTTAACGATTAATCGTGCAGCTCTACAGCACATATTCTTTTCAAAGTTGAAATTTGCTTCCGATCAGACACAAGTCTGTCCGTCCAGAAGTCTCACAGTTACAAACAGCCCTCTTGTAAATCACGGCCAAAGTCTTAATTTCATCAAGATCTCCTCTTTCCTCGTTAGTAAAAGTCACAGAGTTAATTAATTCCCTCACACCCTCCTCTTTCATATGCAGATGAGATGCTATTCTGCCACACAAAAGGCTTTAATAATGCATTCACTTGGATTGGGGAGCTGGTGTCCCATTTTCTGTTACTGGACAGAATGTGTGATTCGGGACAGCTTGCACGAATGCTCTTCCTTTCCTAGAGTCTGAACAGAAAACAGGCTAAATTGTGACTGATATTGAATTTAATCAAAACATTGCCTGAAGTCGATCCTTCTGCAGATGTTTCCCAGTTTCATTCATCAGCTGGGTGCTTGCACAGTGCCCATGGCAGATATATATCAGTGTGAACTGTGCACATCAATCCTCGTAAAGTCGCAGGCTCCAGCCCTGTCCTCTCAGAGTTAATCTTCAAGTTGTCATGGGCATATTCTCTAAATTACAGACCTGCTTTATATCGTCCCCATTAGGTCGAGGCAATACGAACGACACTGCAAGATTCATTCCACTGTCGCTTTCAGTCAAAAATCATAAAGGCAGCCGCATGCTTACATGGCCACATCACTGTCCACTCTAGGAAACCAAACGCTTTGCCATTTATACTCCTCACAAAAAGAGCTGTCTCTCGTAATGGACTGAAACAAGTGTCCTACCCTTCAGGACAGCTCCCTTGAAAGAATAAAAATAGATATAAGTTGGTTGCTGCTTGTGCCGTCGGGTTTCACTGTTTGTCATATGGAGTTGTGTGATTTCAGGACCTTTAAACTTTGCCGTTTGTAACAAGGGCATGTGAGGACTCGGGAATTAATAGGCTTTAGTTAATTGTTTACCATGTTCAAGGTTAACGTTATCCTAGAATGTGTCTCAATTCATTTTTCCAGGGTCTTCTTCTGTATGTTGGCAAAGACTGCGTCTGCATTATTTAATTAGAATTTTTACATTGTGTTTTTTATATAGATATTATCTGATAAAGCATTCTCCTAAACAGCACACACATTTGCAATCCCAGAGAATCCATTCTTATTTATGAGTTTAATAACATTGATTGAACTAGTATAACTCTCAACCTGTTTTCATACCCGCTTTTGCATCTGTGTGAATGTCCGCACGTAAATCTTAAGTCTTCTACAGAAAAATATGGAAAATGTAGAGGAGTGTTTGCCATTGCTTGACGTGTAGTTTCTCAAAACAACACCTAAAAGTTTCTGTAACTGTATAAAGCTCATGGATATTTAATGAGTCCTAACTCGGTGTTACATTCCTGATCCTTGTAGTTGGTGAATCTCTTTTAACAGGTCAAAAACATGGCCAGATTGTATTTTACTACAAAATCAAAGTTAAGAATTAAATCAAATTTGATAAAAGAAAATTAAGCTGAATTTCAGGACCATTAAGTTTTAAAAAATGTTTTTGTCTTCCATAATAACTTCCATAATGCAAAAAAATTTATATTACTTGGAATGCAATATATATTTAAGTATTTAAGCATTAGTATTTGTTGTACTGCTCCTAAATTAATGGTCATTAAATTGTTATTTTTTTTTGACAGAAATGACAATCTAATATGACCTGAATATATTCTTTATACTTTTCATGAGATTTGCACTGTATGGTGGACAAGGGCTTTACAAAGACTTAACTTTGGGTTAAAAGCAATGCTAACACTCTTTTTTAAAATGGCAAGTGTGAAACATTGCTTAAACGGATAGTTCTCTCAAAAATGAAAATTGTCATAATTTACCATCATGTCGTTGCAAAACAAGCCAAGAAGATATTTTGATTTTTGAAGAACTCTGGGAACCAAATAACATTGGAGCAAACATTTACTTTTTATGCAATGTATGAACAAACAGCGCAGTCTCATCCCAAGACGTCATATAACTGACGTCCACCATACGTCAACATCCGCCATTTTAGGGTACCCTTTAACGTCGGTTAGATGACGCTATCGGATCCTAACCCTACCCCAGACCTAAACCTACCCCGTCACCTAACTGACGTTAAAGGTAAAGCGTCAGTTGTATGACATCCCAGGATCGTCATGTAACTGACGTTAAAGGGTACCCTAAAACGGCGGATGTTGACGTATGGTCAAAAGACGTCCCAAGACGTCAGTTATATGACGTCTTGGGATGAGACTGTGTTAGAACAAAACAAAACTCTGAGACATTTCTCAAAAAATGATTTAAGATTCGCAGGAGAAAAAGAGTTTTGAACAACATGATGGTAAGAAAATATAGGGTTAAATTTGTCTTGACCCAGGATTAAACATTGTGTGATGAAGCATGAGTATTTCAACACTTTAAAATAGTCAGCAACTAAGCAGTTAACTGCTTCAGCCTGCTTTTTATATGTTCCACCCTTTGTTCTGTGAATGACTAACACAAAAATCAACACAAAAATTCCCCTGCGTGTAATAACAGCTCTGTAATGACTGATTGGGTATAGGAACCGATCCATCAAACGGAGAAGTAATCTCAGAGTGACAGGAGCAGTTCCACTCCTCTGCGCAGTCTATCGGATTGATGGAAATGCTTCTCGATGTAATGCATAACTGCTGACCTGCCCCGGTAGAAAGGCTCGTCCAATACACTTCAGCCCAAACAGATCCTGAGACTAAGACACTGTAGGGAACATTGAAAAGGCTCATCAGCTGCAAACCATCTAACAATTAATTGCATAAAAGTGACACTGGTTTCAGTAGGAAAGAAAAAATATTCAAGTTTCATTATGGAAAGCACATTCATTACTTCATTATGGTATTGTTATATGATTAGTTCACCCAAAAAATACAGTTGTGTCAATATTTATTTTGTGATTTAATTCTGTGGAGCACAAAGGGGGAGATTAATAAATACTAGTTGCTCTTTTCCATGCAATTATAAAGAAATAAGGACTGGAGATTTTAAACTTTAGATACAATTCAAAAGCTCTATAAAGTGGCCCATACAATTTGTGTGCCATTTCAAGTCTTCTGAAGCCAAATTATATTAGCTTTGTGTGAGAAACTGGGAAATTTGCTATTCACTGATAACCCTTCCCTACACTGAGCTAGTTAACAACTATGACCAGGTCACTGAGTAAGAAAGGACTCGAGAATCTGGTCTGTCTTGATTTGTGATCGAATCATTCAGAGTTTTGTAATGTAGATCAATTTAGAAGACTCAAAAAAAGGGAATGGACATATATATATATATATATATATATATATATTTTCATCGACTCTCATTAGCACACCAGACAAAAACAATAGCACATCTTAAATTTTCATATGGCATCTAAGAACTGGTGCACAATGTTATATTGACTACTTTTATAATACTTTTAGGTTGCTTTTACATCCTTTTGAAAATCCAGGCCCAGTTCATTGTGAATGCATGAAAAGAAGATCAATGAAATTCATGTAAGAAAGTCATTTAGGTTTGGGAAAACATTAGGGTGAGGAAATAACTATTTTAATTTTTGGATGAACTAGTCATGTAAGAAAATGGTAAAAGCTATTATCAAAAGCCTTAATCATTAATAAAAGAGAAATTGTCCTGTTCTTGTCCAATAAACCTGGCATTGTATATTACAAATATCGTTGGCTCCTGGGTGTATTTCTTTTGTTCCCCGTTTGTAAGTTGCTTTGGAAAAAATGCCTTATAAATGCAAAAATGTAAAAGTATATAAAATCAACTTGAATAGTATGAAAATTAAGAAGTCTAAAGCAGAATAGTGACACATAGCTTTTATTCTCCTGCTGGAATTGCAGTGAAATTATAGTTGAAAAGAAAGTGATTCATCCTTTCAGGCAAAATTGTGAACATGTTCAAATGCCATGAAGCACATGTTTCTCTCAGTCGTTTCACGTTCTGCAGCCTACGCAATTGCTGCACTGGACATTTAATAACCATGTTAACGTGTTCTAGCACCTTCTTCTTTTGCAGTCATTACGTAAAGTCATTTCCTGTTCTTTTCTGAGAAGACAAATGAATTTAATTAGGGCTGGGCGCTAGGGTGTGTGTGTGTGTGTGTGTGTTTTGGGGGGTAGAAATGACTCCCAGCAGAAACCGATGGTAGAAATGACTCCCAGCAGGTCAAAGTATTCATGTAGGACATTCCAGTCTGAGACTGGAGAAGACTGCGAGGGCTTTGAAGGAGTTAAACGAGGACCGTCGAGGCTTCAAGCCCAGCGCTGATCAGCACTCAGTGATGCAGGAGGAGGAGGAAGAGGAAGGAGGAGCGAAAAGACCAGCTGAGCCTTTCTGCTTTCAGTCTCTCGTCAGCGAGTGCCAGAGCAGTTCCCTTTGCTGTGCTTCTCTGAGACACACACACACACACACCAGAACGCTCTTCATTGCTGGTTGGGGGAGAGTGCTAAATCCCTTTCTCTCTCTCCGCCTGGATCATGCTGCCCTGGAAAAGGAGTAAGTTTGTGCTTGTGGAGAATGAGTCCAAAAGCAAGCCAAAAAGTCTTGGAGCCGGGCTCACCTACCATTCCCTGCTGTCGACTTTGCTCCACTCCTGTCCGGACCTCGTTCCCGATTGCCCGTTCCAGTGGCTGGGGAGCGTCTTCCACAGTAAACGGCAGAAAGTGGAGCTCAATAAAGAGGAACCCACTTACAAGGTGCGTTACCTGGGCAGCGCGGTCACCATCATGGCTAAAGGGGACGACTGCACGCAGGAGGCGGTGGCCAAGATTTGGACTCGCAGCAACTACGGCGAACAGAGTGCCAAGATGAAGCTCACTGTCGGGCCGCATGGCATCCGCTTGGGGGCGGATAGAGGTGGCAAAAAGAAGCCCGTCCACCTCTATTCCCTGAACCGCATCACATACTGCGCAGCTGACCCCTTTCGGCCCAAGATTTTCGCTTGGATTTACAGGCATCAGGTGAAGAATAAAGCAGTGGTGCTACGCTGCCATGCCGTCCTGTTGCCGAAGGCGGAAAAGGCCAGAGCGATAGCGCTCAGCTTGTACCAAAACTCAACGTCCGCATTCACGGAGTTCAAGCGGCTGAAGCGCCAATCTGACTTCCGCCATTGCCAGCAGCAGCTGCTGGGTGAAGACATTGTGCCTCTTATGCCGATTCGGAGACTCCTAAATGGCCAATGCCACTACCAGCCACCTACAGAAAAGCCTGGGAGTGCCACACGGCTCTCCTCGATTACTGAGGAAGAGGAGGAGGAGGAGGACCGACAGGGGGATGCGCAATCCGACAGCACCGGCACATCCAGTCCCCTTCCGGAGAAAGACCTGGGGAAGATCGTAAATAGACTGGACGAGGTTTCGATTACCAGCTGGGATGAAGCACAGATGACTATCAGCACTCTGGTGTGAGGTCACATGGATACAGTTTAGCGTCTTCACCACTGAGCCTCTGTCCTGTCGCCTTTCCTGCCAACCCTGTCTTGTCTGGTACGTCCATCGATGCACCGTGAACCAGCCCTCTGAAACTTGGGGACTGTTGGCACCCACGATGCTGCTTGCAGAGGAACTGTTCCAAGAGATACATGGAGAGGGAGAGCCAGTTCAAGCACAATACAAGGAGGACCACAGGTACACCAATCCTTCGGCGTTGGTCGAGAGCTTACACCAAAAAGCCTTTATCCACCCCCGACATCAAAGCACCCGAAGACAATAAAGCATTCATCTCGTACTCACACCACCTTGTTTTTTGTTTTTTTGAGTACATGCCAAGTGCTGACGGATTATTAGAAGGAACATTAAAATGTGACTTTTTGTACAGCCAGTCTGTCTTTTGATGTTTGGAACTGTCCCCCGGTGACCTCTCTCAACAGGCTCCGCTTCAATGGGATGCGGTTAAAGCTGGTTTATTGGCACTGGGAGCTGCACTAATGAATTAAACCATAACTTAGGAATTGAGTCGTTGACTTGACATGTTTACTGCTACCATTCGTCACAGCTCTGCTAATCAGTAATGAATAACAAGTGGAGGCATCACCTGTGATGTTTAAGATGGGCCTTTTAAAATGTTTTTAAACGGTATCAATTTTACACTGTGATTTGTCTGGGACCAATGGCAGCCATTCATCTTGTGTTTATAGAAACGCTATAGCTATTGTAATTTATGCTGAATTTGTGTTGGTGTAATCTGTTCGTCATAAAAACTCATTTTTATGCTGTTCACATGAAGGTCGCAGCTTCCATCTGTCAAAGCTATGTGTTTTGTAATTTCATTGCACTGGAAACTGGGGAAAACCGTCAAACATTTTTCTACTACTTCCATCTTTTTCTGCACAATGGGACACTGTCGGTGTGAAAAATCGCCAGATGTTGCATAATAAAATGTTTGCTTATATTAATCATGAATTCTTAGAGCCCCAGATTTCCATTTGTTTCATCTCGGGATGATCGGATTGAGTTTGTTTGAAGGATTTGAAAATACAAACTGCTGATTTTCAGGCTGTATTTCAAAAGATCATTTCTTGCTTAAATAAATATTTAATTCTTATATAAGGAAAAAAAAATGTCCATTGGCATCATGTGAGTGGGCTGGGAAAGGAACTGATTTCATCTGTTGCTGAGGGGCATTTAGCTTTTCCCTCAAAGTGGGCCAATTAATCAGCCGATTGAATTGTTGAGAATGTGAGCATAAAACACCTGGGCAGGCAGCGCAGAGCTTTCAGCTTGACATGAAATCTGCCAGAAGAGGCTTCAACAGCCTCTCAGCGCATAGTTGATTAAATCGGACAAAAGGACAAGCACATAAATAAGCAAAACTCCATAAGATTTTGCATCCAATTCACCATAACAAGATCTGCTTTCTAAAGTGCAGTTGAAAAAGGTTTCATTAGTGGTGCTCGCTAGGGCAAATATTGCTATTGCTTCGGTTTAGGCAACAAGGGTTATGTGGATGATTTTTTTTCTCAAATCGTGTCACTTGAGGAGAGATGTATACTTTCTAAGTAATTACCTGCAATTCTCGATATTAAAGGAGGAACCCAAGCCATATCTTGAGACTTGAGGGTGTATTCTTGACTCTAGCCAATAGGAAACCACCTTGCAAACAACTAGAACACTTTTAAAACTGCATAGCAACACCTTGGCAATCATGCATAAAACCCATTGTGGCACTTTTTCTACATTAAGGGCCAGATTTACTAACTGCTTGCGCCTGCAGAAACCTTCTTTTGGAGTTAAGCTCTTTAAGTAGGGTATTTATACACCACTGACAATATAGTTATGTATATTATAATGCATTTCTGTCTACAGATCCTCCTAAACATTACACAATGCACCTTTAGTCCCAGACTAAAATGCATGTTTGAGCTGTTTTAACTGAAAGCAACTTGCACTGACATTTTAAAATATGTCAGTCATTTTTTTTAAATCTCAAGATGCGCATCAGTAATTTTTTTCTCTAAGGCACGTTTATTACATTGTAAAAAATAAAAACATATTTTTTCTACGGTTAAAAAACGGCAGCTGTGGTTGGCCTGAACTTTTGTCCGTTAAAAATACGGTAGGAACGTTAATGGTTTTACAGACTTAACTTAAAATTTACAGTAATAAACCGTATTTTATTATCTGATAAAATGTTGCTTTACCAACCTTTTGTAAAATATATATCTTTTTTGTACCATTGTAATACACTGACAATCAATAATCATCGCGGCAGTGATGAGTCACATGATCAATCAAAGCTCATCGCATAGTCTTCTATAGGAAGGTTAATACTTATATAAAGAAGCTGCACAGTGTCATTCACACAAATATTAAACACCATCATGGTAAAAAAAGTGCAATAAACATTCATTTAACACCATTAAATGTAACATAAAACCCTAATGTAACACAGAAACAAGAAAACTATTAGGAACCAGTTATTTGGTATAAGTGTCACACGGGGAATTGTGGGAATGCCAATTTACGTTTTTCACTGTAAAATGAGTTTCAAAAACTGTAAATTTAACAGTATTTTACAGTAAAATTATATCACAGTTATTTACCGTATACAGTACGGAAACTTTCTGTTAACCAATTAACAGTTTTGCACTGTAGAATTTTTAGTCTTTTACCGTTAAAATGACGATTATTTTTTACATTGTAGCTACTTGATGTCCTAATTGAACTAAAGCCTAATACTGCATTAATCTCTGTTTGTGAAACCAAGACTAAATAAAGTGTACAACTCACAGACTGATGATTTTGGGGCTTGACAAACGTGCTCACCATTAACTGTTGTTGCATAAAAATAATAAAAAAACAGCTGTATCAAATTTCTACTAAATGTCTCCTTTGTGTAAAAGAAACTAAACAAAAAACTGGAAACACTTTACTTAAAGCCCTTATGTATAATACAATATAAAGACCTCAAACTTTTGAATTTTCGTGTTTGTAAGTGACAGATTGACGTCTTAATCTGGTCATTTAGTGGCTCTGATGGACACCAATTTGTCCCTGGTATGGGATTCTGTAAGTGTAATCTCACCTCCAACTCTCTAACTGTTAAAAAGTTGAGTGTGTGAGTGACAGAATATGGCAGTGAAGAGTGTTACTTCTCTCCTGTAAGCCTCGATGAAAGGGGTAATAGCCTCCTTTGGAGGCACAGGGGGGAACAAGGTGTGCTGGGTCGGGACATACAGGATCAATGAGCCATCTTTCAGGCATACAGAGAGAGAGAGAGCGATAAAAAGGATGACAGCCCTGTTTTGGGTGTGTGTGTTTAAAAATGAGAGATAAAGAGAGAGACATGCATTTGTATTCCTCAGCAGCACCGTTCTCTTCTCTTGAACTGCAGCGCTGGATTCTGCATTATTACTTCTAAACACACACTGTGTGCCGGTTCAAATTCCCTGAAGGCTCAATCATAAATAATTAATTTCTTGAGAAAATTTTGCACACATAGTTAGAGAGGGAAGATGTTTACTCTATTCAAACTTAGTTGAGCAAAGCTTTGATAGTGTTTAACCTCTAAATATAAAGATGCTTTTATGTAAATCTCTAAAACAAATAAAAGGCAAAATAAGAGAAACCTAAATGATTTCCTGAACAGATCTGGCAAGAGAGTGCAGAACTGAAGGTGGTTTAGTAGAAACTGTTTTGTATGCATTTTTGGGTTAGGTTCAGGGATATTACCAAGTTATTGTAATAAGTATTTACATGGGAAACGTGACTCTAAAATAAAGTGCTACCCATTATTTTAATAACATCAAGAAAATTAAATGCTGAATTACATGTGGCGGTTTATTAATCGCATATTAATATTCACTAATAAAGCTTCCAAGTAATTCACACTCTAGAGACAATAATGATATCGTTTGGGGTCGGTACGATTTTTTTAATGTTTTTGAATTTTGATCGAAATCGGTCGTCAAGGATTCATTTATTTAATCAACAACACATTTAAACAGTAATATTGTAAAGTATTAAGACAATTTTTACAATAAATCTTCAGAAAGCATTCTGATATGCTGATTGGTGCCCAATAAACATTTATTATTATTATTATTGTCAAAGTTTAAGACCGTTTTTTGCGGGTGTCTAATGTTTTTTTGTGGAAATCTTTAATGAATAGAAAGAAGCATATGGAAATCTTTTTGTAACATTATAAATGTATTTACTGTTGCTTTTGATCAATTTAATGCATCCTTAATTAATAAAAGTACTAATTACTAGTAAAAAAGTGTATCTTGGTAGTGTATATAAAGCGCATTCCTGTAACTCAAACATTGGAGTGAGCAAGGAATTAAACAAAATGTGCCATGTTTACTTCAACATGCATTCCTGCTTTCCAAAAGGATAAATGACTCCCAAGATGACTTCCTATTTCAAAATGCGTCAATGGAAGTAAAATGGGTAGCAAATGCTTTCATGTTAACTTTAGATCTTTATTTATTTAAATAAAGATAATAATAGATTTAAAAGGAACACTATGTAATTCCAACACACAAACGGCTGCATGAAATGAGATCGCCTGCAGTATAATTGTTATGTAACGCTATCATAAATCAGGCTGAAAACTTGTCCACGCTGATCCATAGAATTCAAGGCGAAAAAGCTTATCTGTTATTAGTGCTATACAGAGCAATATACTCCAAACACAAGACACCCACAAGGGACCCGGGCTCACTGACAATGAATTTTGCATGACCTTTCAAAAACAATGCTTGCACACCTTTACGACCATATATTTTATGGTGGATGAAAGATGTTATTCTCTGTTAATACCGAACAGCATCTGTACTGTTATAGCTATAGAATCTGTGTGACTTGAATAATTCAGTGTTTTCATCCACAATATTCTCTTTGCTTGAGTGTTTTCTCAACTCATATTTCTCTGCAGTTCTAGAACAAGATGAGGAGAAACTTTAATGGGGAGAGGATTCTTCACAGATCAAAGCATGATCTTTGATGTTGAATATCAAAATTTCACTCGCACAAAAGTAAAGAGAATAAGGCAGGTTAATTTGCCCATGAGAATCAGATGTTTAAGACTAGTACCATTAAAGAAAATGTGAAATCAAAATCGATCCTCTCATTAATGCACAGTATTGATTATTAAGTAACTTTCCTGCTGATGTAACAAGTAACATTTTTTTAAGGTGTTTGAAAAAAGATGTGTGTCCACAGTCTTTGTAAACAATAAAATCCACCCACTCCTTCTGTTGAATTACATTTATGCAGTGTTATATATTTGCACAAATCATTTTACGCCGGCATGCTTCACAAACGCGGGCCAGTTCAATTCTGGATTTGCACAAAGGTTGTTTCTGAAATATTTTTAGATGACGGTACATGCTGTTGTCGATTAGTTCAATCAACTTAACTCCACAAAAACTACATACATTTATCCACTAACCATCAGGAATGTCCATTGCATTCTAAAAGTTAAAATTTCTTCTTGAGTCTCTCCATCATTTTGTTTGTAAGTCTGAAAAAAAAAAACGCTACTGACAATTTTTTACATTTTGGCTGCGTGACATTCTCCAGTTTTGTTGTTTTGTTGAGTATCCAAAGCACGAGCTGTAAAGGCCACGCCCTCTTCTGGAAAGGGGCTCATTTGCATTTAAAGGGACACATACAAAAAATGGCATGTTTTTGCTCACACCCAAACAGAAGCGAATTTGACAAGCTATAATAAATGATCTGTGGGGTATTTTGAGCTGAAACTTCCTGGGACACCAGAGACTTATATTTTGTGATAGGTCCCCTTTAATTAATCAGTCTGGAAATACGGAAGCATGTTTAACATGCTTTATGTTTCGGGAAAGACTTTAGATAAACAAAGACGGTGCACTAATTTTACGATGAATGGGAGAAAACGCAAACCGTTTTCAGATAGTAAACATGGTGACATTTCTTTGTAGGCGGAGCTTAGGTGGAGGCAGAAGTTTGCTAGTTTTGGCTTGTTTTTTTTAACAATGACTGGAGAAAAAGCTGATTGTATCTTAACGTGCAAGTTCACTCAGTGTCTAGAACCGCGATTGTTTGCAAAAGTTCATTTTAACGGACGGAACCAGATTGGCTGACCCGTACACGCTCACTCTATGCATGGACGACCTGACAGGATTAACGTTAACGCTACCTCCGGTTGAGTGGCCTGACTTCTACACCTATCCCATAGAGTAACCGAGCGTCAAGAGAAACTGAGGGCATATAAATCTTTAGATGCCTATATATATACAGTATATATATATATATATATATATATATATATATGTGATGAATGTACAAGACTTGTGTTGATCCACAGTTCTGCCAGCGCAAAGAAGACGACAATGTAGAGTTGCGGTGCAATTTTAATGACGTGAACATTTTCTATAGAAATAAAAATTCCAGATACAGCATATTTATTTTTCAGCGATTCTTGCACCCAACAACACAACAAGATGCCATTTAATATTAATAATAATAATTTAAACTCCTTATGTAGCTGAATCTGTGCTGGTTTGTATTGGCCAGTTGTCCGTTTGTGTTGCCTCCAGCTAACGCTGTGACGTAATTACGCG